GCAGGCATATTTTTTAGAAGGTTTTCATCCAAATTTAAATAATGTACTGCTAGAAATCGTCTTGAGTCTCCTCGCCCTGTTCTGAACCATATATCTTTAGTCAAAAACTTTTTAACACATCTGTATCGTTGCAATAAATAATGCAGCGTGAATGCACCGAATTTTTGGCTGACAATATGTGCAATGAGATACGATTATTAGCGTCTTCGTGATTTGAATTTAAAAAAATCGTCTTTTGATGGTTCAAAATTCTTTCCATATTTATTGATTTTCGCGAATCACCACTAGTTAGAAATTGAATATGCTTTTGCTGAATGGAGTTTTGAAGAAGTTGCTCTGGCAGAAAATGTGTTAAACGTCTTTTGTTAAAGATCTAATGAATAAACAAGTTCTATTGTTGCGGAAGTGGAATATTGGGTCGGTCAATTTCTATATCAATTTATTTCTGAAATCCTCTCTTTTGACGTGTTGTATTTTTGATAGAATGTCCTTTATAATGATCAAATACCACATCTATCATTTGAGCATTAAATTTATTTCTAAAAATAATGTTTACAAATATATGAGCATATTCTTTAAATGATATGCAACTTTTGGGCTTTCCTATTTTGATATAAGCAACAAATCCGTAATTAAAATTTTAAACGAAAACTTATAACTTACCCAAATATATTTAGCTGCAACAGGATGAATGTAGATATAATAAAGATGCAAAAATGTCTATATTTTTTCCCAATTTATTAGGTAATTTAATATATAACACATACACTTATTAATTCTTTAGTAAAAACAGATAACAATATGACACATTGCCCTATGGAACATAACAAGAAGTTTTATAATAAAAAAAATGAAAAATCCTACCATATCAATAATGTGATACATCAGCCCGCACGTAGAGAGAAACAGAGCTATGCTACGTTTGAAGGTGAAGAGAAAGATACACTGATAGTCGATAAATTTGACGGTGAGAATTAATTACAGCATAAACCTATGACATCTCTCATCGTTTATTGTTATATCTTTGTTAATTCAAAAGCAAAAAATATAGTGTATAGTGTTTTACTCTGTTACCTTTTCAACACATAAGCAAAAATTTTATAAAGAATGTTATTTTTTCATTTAGGCCTTCGTTTTTTGTTAAATGAGTGGTATATTTAAAAAAGACGACTTTTTAACTAAATTTTTGAAGGGCTAAACCAAGATATTTACGTATATATTTTTTTTCGGCCGTAAGTGCTAATGCAAATGATTTATTTTAAATAAGTATAAACAATTACTCCCTACAAAGATTTTATTGTGCATTTGACCAAAAAATTAGTATTTTTTTCTCTATTCGGTGGTATCAATATCTGGATTTTTGATGATAGTGCCCTTCTGCACAGTCTAATTTTGTATTAACTCCGGAAAAAGGGTTACCTTATCATGACCTTTCATCTGTGAAAAATTCAGCTATGTGACAAAAGAGTGGGAGGTGAATCGTTTTCTTGAGCGAATATTTTAATACATACACTTTACTAACAATGACAACAGCGGATATTATACCCACAATATATTGTGATTATACCCTACTGTGTCCCTTAGAATATGTCTTATTCACGGCCGCACGATATTTGTTAATAGTTACATCTCCTGGTTATCTCTGGTTTTACTCTACTCCGGTAGTCACCGCAAATACGAACTTCGTCTTTGTTTTTCGGAACAAAAACAATAGGAGTATACCATTTTGGATGTTACAGGTTCGAATTCTCTATCTACCTTGTCTCTAAGCGCAAAAGGTATATTTCGAGCTTTTAATGTGATCGGTTTTACTGTAGAGTCTAGGTCAAACGTAACGGGTGGACCTTTGTATTGTCCCAAATTTTCATTGAACACTTCCGGGTATTCTTTGATATAGTTAGTACAATTTGAAATTTGACTTACCCCAGTGATGGATAAACCTAACTCTGAAAACCAATTTCTACCTAAGAGACTGGCTCTGTCGGCGTCAACGATGATGAGTGGCAAAATAGCACTTTTGCTTCCAATTTCACAAGAACATCGCACTCTCCTATTATCGATATGATCTTGAGTTGATAATCCCGTAAAATTTTATTCGAAAAGCGAATAACAGGCGGATTATTACAAAAAATGTTCTGAAAAGTCGACTTCCCCCATTACTGTAAACACGGCACCCGAATCAGCCTCCATACTTTCGTTTTTTTTTTCATTAATTCTAACGTTAATTAATATTTTACCCGTAATTTTATCCGTCTGAATTTTATTCATTGAGACCTCCATTTGATTGTGAATGTTATTAACTTCATCGTCCGACGATGATTGTCTATCTATGTTATGAACATTTTTTCTTGGTATTTGCCTTTTCTTTGAGAAACAAGCTTCTTCAATATGTCCCTCTTTGTTACAAAAACGACACATTTATTTTTACGTCCCGCAAAATCAACAGCTGATGATCTTGACCCACTTACGCGCGGTTGTTTGTTATTATGGGAATTACCGACTTTGTTTACAAAGGCTGTCGATGACGTTGCTACCGAATTGAATGAATTCGATGTTCCACATAGATAAATTAATATGTAAGATAAATCGTTTACATGCACGGCACTGGTAACACGTTTAGTTCCTCAGCATACTATTTGGAGCCACCATCGCACATTACACAATAGGCTTGACAGTTAAAGGCATCACAGAAGAAGAAAATAAAAAGAAGAGTGTCTAGTTTTCCCGCGGTTCATTCAAATGTACTTTATTATTTATTTATATTTTTTCGGAATTCATTACTCAAAAAAAAACAATATTTAAATTAAAATATTGTATTTAACATAAATATTAGTTTTTTAAAATAATAAAACTCCAAAAAATATAAATAAAGAAATATTTATACTAAAATACTTGAAACACAGGTATAGTTTAATCATTTAATACAAGTAAGGTGCATTTAAACGTTTATAAGGGTCGATTCCACCGTTGTGTTAAACGGAGATTAAAACGACATTGTTAATGTAAAAATGTAATTTTAAACTTCGTTTAACACAACGGTGGAATCGGTCCTTACATACATAACATATACTCGATATTACATAACAATAATTATAAGTGAAATTAATAGTAATCTCCTCTCATTCTTGGAAAATGGACCTATTTTCGATGCAGGTGTTAGGTGTTTTCTCAGGGCGTTTTCTATAAAAACAAAAAAGTGTACATACCTTATTGAACAATTTCTCTTATCAAAATATTGCCAATTCTTATAAGTACAAGTTAATTTTAATTAGTTTATAAACAAAAATTATTTCTCATAGTTCAATAGTTAATTTGAATTTTATTTTAACTGTAAAACAAATCTGTTCTAGTTGATATTTATAACAAATTAGAGTTTAAAATTTCTTTTCATTTTTGAGAGACAACAAAAGGATATCCTTTAAATTCTGTAATAATCATTAAAGTGCGCAAGCCCTCTCACCAAGGCAAGGTTTCAATCTAAGAGGAGGAAAAAGTGAAACTTATTGACTATTATTTAATTATATTGAAATTTATAAAAATACTAGTTAATTTAACAATCAAATTATTTAGTATAGGTTTACTGCAATTTGGAAAATGTAGCTTAATTGATTAATCTCTTTAACAAACAAAATTATTATAAATAAAAAATTAAGAATTTGTTAGTACTTACTAACTTTAGCCAGTAAATGAAGAGCAGCAACTCCGAGGTTTGAAAAAATCTTCTTTCGAGAATTTGCTTTTTGTTTACTGTTTGTTGCCCGCATCCCACCACGAGAAGGTAAAGTAGTGGACTAACACATTGAGGATGCTTTTTTATTTCCTTTTTTTCTGTAAAAAGCATTTACAATTAGTCGTTTACGTTTTATGGCAATTTTGCTAAAAGACTCTGGCAAAAAATGATCTTCAAAAAGATAGCGAGTTTTATTATCAAAAGTTAAATTTAAATACTTAAACCAGTTCTCTCGAATTTTAACATCAGAAGGAAAATTAAAAAAAAAAAGGTTTTATTTGAATAACCAGCTTGTTGAATATTAGAATACCTATTTAAACAATTAGGAGCTGAACAAGAATACTTAGTTTCACCTTTCGATGCTTTGCCCGGGTCGGACATGTTCTGATATTGTTACAAGTTACAAATATATTAAAAAAAGAATTGAAAATAGATTCAGAATGAAATTACCTATATTGGCTAAGAAAACAATGATAAACAAAGTCCTTAAACAAATCTAACACCTAATATTGAATTAAATTGTTAATACTTACTAATTACATCAAATCATTACTTATAAATCTTCTTAACCTAAAAATAACTTTCATAAAATAACTTTTATTTACTTATATTGTTGTAATTTGGCCATCATTTCGCCTTTCGCCGCCATTCCGTTTTTCATTTTTACAAGGTTGTCAAACTTCCTTTTTAAAATATCCCATCAATAGTATGCAATAGTATGGATGGTATCAAGCTTGACAAAAAAACAACATAATATGTTTGAATTAATTCTAATCTCATGAAAGTTTATGGAAACTGGCAACATCGCTTTCATCTTATTGCGATGGTGGCTCCAAGTAGTATGCTGAGGAACTAAACACCTAAAATACTTGTTACCAGTGCCGTGCATTTAAACGATTTATCTTGTTTATTAATTTATCTATGATGTTTCACGTATCGCTGCTAGACTGTGGGCTGCCCCTTCGTGGGTGAGGCATAAATTTTGAGTTTCTTTGGAACGTGATTTTGTCCTCAGCTAATAGACGGCGCTGTAGGTTTTCGTCTCGAACCACAGTGTATCCAATGAACTGGAGTGGGGTAGAATGCTTGTCAATAGACTTGATGTGCGACTCTATGGGCGAAGATAGGTTATTTTTCATCTCACTCGGGAGTATTTAAAATAACCATTTTCTATTTCACATTGTTATTGTCTGATCCACCAGCTTGTGGATTTTTTTTCAGGCAAATTGTATGGCTAAAATTAATGGGAAAAGAAGAATGGGTTTTGCAGGATTCTAAAATAATTGCTGGACGCCGAATATGTAGTGAGCATTTCTCAAAAGACAATATATCTGGAAGAAGACTGAAGAAAGATGCTGAGCCTGACATATTTAATGATGAAGAGGGTTTTAAAGGTATTTTTTAATTTGAATTAATTATAATTTCATGCACAGATTATGTTTTCCTAATTTTGTTTGTTACTCAATTCACCACTTTTATTTAATCCCTTTACCTGATTCCTAATATTATGTGAGATAATCCCAGTAGTGTTAAAACCTTATTTTATCAATTTAAACACAATTATTAGTTCATTCCCAGAAGAGTTAAATCAATAGACCATTTTAAACATTAAATTATTGCTTAATTACTTTAATCTCTTAGGGTTAAAACCTTATTAAATGAATTTATGTAAATATAATTAGTATTTGATTAATATAGTAACAGTAGTGTTCATTATACCTATTTAAACACAAAATTATTGCTTAATTACTTTAATCCCCTAGGGTTAAAACCTTATTATTTCAATATATTAAATTTTTTTTATAAAGGTGTAATAAATCTTTAAACTTAGGGTTTATTTAAGGTGACAGTTTAATTGTGTTTAATTTTATTTTCTAATAAATTTGAAAACTATACAAATTAAAGAGCTAAGATTTTGTAGACGTTTTTGAAATAAATCAGAGCAGTTGCTGACGCCAATATAAATAACGTAACTTTGATTATAATAAAAATAAAAGTTTAAACAATTATAAAAAAATGTAATATGATTTTTTCAAGGGGTCAAGCAAATACTCTATTAATAATCAAATACAATTACCTTAAAACCAATTCTCAAATCAATGTAATAACGGAGCAAATTGAGAAATAAAATACAAGCTGAAATTTTAAATAATATACGCGCCAGACCCTGTTTTACCAACATTTTAGTTCAGGCACTCGTCGATAGATCTAAAAACAAGCAAGTCACCAACCATTTTCGATCTTTCAACACGTGCCATTCAGAATAAAGTTTTGATATGTCTAAACCGCAAACAGACGACGAAATAACGTGGGTTTCAAATACACAGGGAATTAATTTTGGCAACACTGATAATTCGTTCTTTGCACGCTCTGTATTTGTAAATTTACATCCACATAAAATTATCTTTTATACGAAATCTTAAGTATTTTTAAATGATTTCTTTTTAGATTTTCTCGTTTTATTTCACGGAGCTGTGACATGATTTTGTTTAATTTTCTTAAAAACAGTTCGAGAAAAATTAGAATTAAGTATTATTAATTAGGTACTGGATTTTTATTTAAATTAATGTAATGTATTGCGTCTCAGGTAATTTAAATATACCGCCTAAAGTAGTAAACGGAACAACCCAACACGAGCCGATCTTCGATGCGCACTCTACACAGGGTGGCAGTTATGAAGGTAAATCGAGCGTGTGTAGACACGAGGCCGTTTGATGGCAACCATTTTGTGAATAGTAAATGTTGAATGTTTAAAAGAAACCCAGTGACAATAAAAGTTATATAATAGTTTAAATCGTGATTATTTATGCCAAACCTAAATACATAACAATTAACTAACTTTTTAAAAATTGTGAATTTATTATCGAGGAATCGCAAATAGAAATCCGAAAAATACTTTCATTTTCATTTAAAAATCTTTATTCATTTTTTTTTAATAACATATATATATATACATCGTCAGTCTAAAATATACACACACAATGCACTTGTACACAGTACATGGTGCAATTATGCGGCTCTACTAGTCGCCTACCAGAGCTATGGCGATTTAATCGCCTATAATACACCGCGATGTTCTTGCCTTAAGGTTTTGCTATACAATAGCTGCCCTCACTCCTTGCCCTGTGGGTATTATTAAGGGATTTTGGTTAGTTTGTATCAGTAATTGTATGTAAAAGTAGATATGTCTTGTCTTAGTTTCGTTTTTGTCCCCTGAAAAAGCTAGTAAAAACAGGGTTGTCATTGGTAGTTCGTGGTCCTGTATATAGTCTATTGTTTTTTGTCATAATTCACTAGAAAAGTGGGCTATGAGCCCTCCGGCAGGGTCCTAATCGAGAGTGTAAAGTGTTCTCGGTTAGGACCCCGCCGGTTGACCCATCGCTCAGTGTTTCGTCGGACTGAATCGTATAAATATCCAGTCCGTGTGAATTATTGTTTAGTTTGTGTGTCGCTGTCGAAGAATATGTTACTGTTGTCTGTATATGCCAAGATTTGAATGCAAGCACCCGTGTTTTCTACGCACGTTGTCTCCCTGGTGGATATTCATGATGCTATCCCTAAGTTCATCGGGTAGACATCGCGCGTAGAAGTTTTCTGCTATTTTAAGGATAAAATCTTTAATCATTGGCATATTTGTCGTAGTGTGTATGTCTCGTATTCTAGCGTAGCGGTCATATCCAAGAGCTAGCCTCAGACATCTGTTTTGAGCGACTTGTAGTTTTGCAAATTGTGTATTAGCCATTGAACAGAACACCGGACAACCATATGTTAGGATCGGCCTGAATATAGTTTTATAAAGAAGTAGTTTGTTCGACAGAGATAGCCGGCTTCGTCTATTTATGATGGGGTACAGAGACCTTAAAATACCCGAATTTTTAGCCACCCTGTCTTTTATGTGTGCCTTAAACTTACGTATCGTTAGTAATTCTTCTGTGCAAATTTTATTAGTAAACGATGGATTTTTATTCGATCAATAAACACTTGAAACAATTCTTGTATTTAAGCCTCTTATAAAAACAAGAATGCAAAAAAATATTGGCTCTACTTGATGTGAGAGTCGCCTAAAAAATGTTGTGTGCACCTTGGCCGTATGATAATAATTTTCGTCCTAACCAGAATTTGCAAATTTATAATTCGGCCAAAAAAGATCAACTTTACGGCCTTACTACACAAATAACTATTTTGGACGATTAAAATGAATGTACTTATTTTTGTTGCCTACCAATATACAGTGAGGACAAAGGGATACATTAATTTTCTGCCTCATTAATAATTAATTTTTAAAAAAAATCCTCTAACGTAAATTTTTATTTTTGAATGCGACAGTATTTCAATTAATTGTATAGGTACCTACTTCTTCAAACCCCTTGAACTGACAACTATCGCCTTTTCATTTTTAAATGAAATGAGTGATCATGTCATACCTCATTTCAAAGGGGTTATTACTCGTTCCAGTAATAGAAGTTTTTTAAAACATGGGCATTTTTCTTTATGAAGAAGCATAACTGTAAATCCAGAAAATCTCCCCAAGATTCGCTGAACATGTTTTATAAGAATCTGAAAAATTATTTCATTTTATTTTTTTTATAATGAAATACACCATGTAAGACTGCTTGTTAAAAATTAGAAAAATACAAACAAAAATCCTTATGTGACTGAATAAAGAATTAAAAACTTTTTAAAATGAGGTATCAAATCCCTCATTTTATTTAAAAATTTGAATTGATTGCTGTCACTCCAAAGCGGTAGAAGCAAGAGGTACATAATTATGTTAAAATATTATCATTTTAGAAATCAAAATTGACCTGTTTTAGCAATTTAAAGAAGTAGTTAGCTGGAAATTTATAATTTACTTACTCTATTAAATGTACAATGTTCATGCCTAAAATTTCGTATACAAATCAGATACCTAGCACAGTGGTATTGTAGAAGTAGATCAGAGGGGTCGGCATGAACCGAATAATAAAATTTCAGTCGCTACCAGAGATATCGTACGTCAGCATATTCAACAGTTTCCGTGTGTCGAATCACACTACTCTAGGACTAGGTCTAAACGAAAATATTTGGGGTCCCATACTCGAATGTATAATTTATTTGTAGAAGACTGCGAAGAGAAAGGTATTTCCAAAAAAGATATTCCAAAATCCTGGCTATACTCAGATATTTTTAACAGCGAGTTTAATCTATCGTTTAGTCAGCCCTCCAACGACACTTGCGATCTTTGCGATGAATTTATTGTTAAATTAAAAGATACAAGTTCCATGCAACAACGCCAAAGCATTCAAGAAGAGTATGATCGTCACCTACTAGAAGCAGAGAAAAGATATTCGGAAAAGAAAAAAGATAAGGAAGAATCACAAGGCAAGATTAATGTAAAAGTGATAATGGTTGACCTCCAAAAATGTCTTCCTACGCCACTGCTGCATAACGCTGAGCTTTTATTCTCTGAAACTTTGGTCGTTTAATTATACCGTTTATGATTCTACTTTGAAAAAATCGTCGTGTTTTATGTGGGATGAGTCACTCGCTGGTCGTGGAGGTAATGAAATGGCATCTTGCCTCCTTAGATATATTCTCGATTTGGAAAACTCTGTAGAAAAACTTATTATCTGGAGTGATAATTGTCCTTCTCAGAATCGAAACATGCAAATGATTGTATGTTATATTTACGCACTTTCGTTGAAACCGTCCTTAAAGTTTATTGAACATAAGTATCTCCTTAGAGGCCACACACACATGGAGGTTGACACGGTTCACTCGAGATTAGAAAGAGAACAGAAAAAATGTTCAGACTTTTCCATTATAACACCATGGAACTGGCAACAAATGGCAAGATTGTGCTGCACCAAATCTAACCTAGAAGTAAAAGCAATGGAACTTAAAGATTTTAAAGACTTTGGTGCAGCTTATGATAGTGCTCGTTCCCCATTTATTCAAAACAAAAAAACCACAACCAAAACTAACTTTTTTATTTCCAGAGTCATTTGTATACAATTTAAACAAGACTGTCCTGGAAAAATGTTCTTTAAATCTGATTTAGATAAGGGCTTTGAGGAAATAGACTTCAATAGAAAATCGTCAAAGAAAAACCACAATCTATTACCGAATTTAGAAGCGATCCGGTCCACTTTACAACCAATAACCAAGAAAAAATACGACGACCTACAAAAACTGTTAAAATGGGTCCCTAAAAGGTTTCATTCCTTCTACAAAGAGCTTCCATATGACGGATTTGTAGAAAAAGATTAAAAGTAACATTTCGTGAATAAATACTAGTTTTATTTTTTTATTATTTAAATGGGCCATGTTCACATGTGAGATATGCTGTTTTATAAACTATATTGTAATAGTTAGTCGTTATACAAGTTATTCTAAATAATCAGTTCGTTAAAAAAGCTAAAAGTTTTTAAATTAAGCCCAATTGAAATTTAAAATTTGAAATTATACGTCATCGGGAATAGACCAATCAGCTTGTGTCGAAGTTTTTTTTGTTATACAAAACCAAGCCAACGAACAAACCTACATACAGAATGTCGAAGTGAACGCACATCTAAGTGACATTAAAAATTAACAGCACCTAACAACTAACCTTAGTTTTTTGTTTTGGTTTAATTTTATTATTAATCTGAATTTATCTGGGTAAATTATCCTGTGGGATATAGGATATATAAAGGAAGAAGAATATGAATTTATCAGCTGTATTTATAAAAGTTGAATCAAGTATTTTTCCCATTGTAAACGAAAATATGATTACCGAGATGATTACTGCATTTTTTAACAATACTCAGTTTACAAAAGATAGAAAGGTAAAACTTTATTTATAAATTGTTTTAATGGTAGGTAGTTACAGTTTATATGAAGCAATACACTTTATAGTAAAACATATTTATCTCAGGTTTTATTTTTAGATCTGCCAAGCAAGAATATGGAGATATTTACTTTTTCCATAAGAAAGAAGGAGACAAATTACACCTAAACATAAAGTACAGCAAAAACCTTATGATGTGGCTGTTGTATTTAACAAAAATGAAATTTTTAGTGCACAATGCTTAGGATATGTTGAATCTCAAGGTTTGTAATATTTATTATGCTTTTTTGTTTTTATATCACATATAATAAACAGTGTATAAGGCCCTTTATTCTTATAAATATTTTTTTTCTAATTTTGACAAAGAGACATTTTTTGTAATCGCAGCAAGTGTTAAAATAATCTAGAAATAGATTTTGTTAGTGAACCTAGTAATAATTATGATACCAAAGAATGCTGCAGAGCACCTATGAAATTTTGAGTTAAAACATGCCATATTTTTAGGCTATTTTTATACCCTTTTCAAAAATTTTATGCTCCTCGTTTTATGCAAAACTTAAAATGCTCTGATAGCTTCGAACGAAGTCAGCAAAGCACCTCTGTTTTAAAAAGTTTTTTCTGTAAAAACAGCAACACCATATATTTATGCACTTGAAATATTATATTTTTAAAAAATACATGGTGCTTGCTAACCTTCGAAAGAAGCCAGCAGAGCAATTCGGTTTTTTAAAGCTTTTTTTTAAAAACCACACCCCATTTTTAGACTCTTGAAATATTGTAAAACTTTACTAAAAAAATTGCTATTTTTAAATAATACAGGGTGCTTTGTTGGAACAAAGTCAGCAGGACACTTCAGTTTTTTAATATATAAAAACAACTACTTATAACACATGTTTAGGCTGTTTTAAAATCCTAAAAATGTGGTAAGTATATTTGTTTTCAGAAAAAAAACTTTGAAGTCAGCAAGGAATTGCGAATTTTTTTAAAAATGTCAAATTTCGAATATTTTATAATATTGTAGGAGCCAAAAAATGTGGTGTGGTTTAAAAAAAAACTGGGGTGCTCTGCTGGATTCGTTTGAAGCTAACAAAGCATCCCGTAATTTTTTATTTTATAATACTCAATAGCCTAAAATGAGACATAGCTGTTTAAACAAAAATGGTACTTTTAAAAATAGCAGTTTTTTTCGAAAAGCTCTATAATATTTCAAAAATGTGAAAATGTGGTGAGCTTGTTTTTTTTAAGTTTTGAAAATCAGAGGTTCGTTCAGAGCTAGTAAAGTGCTCGTCTTGTTACATAAAATAAGGCATTTTGTAGCTGGTTATATAGTTATTTTGTAACTGCATATCTAACCCTTTTATTTTTTTCAGGAGGTTGTAAACATGTGGCTTCATAGAAGAAGTGAGGAACCATCTGTAACATCTACTCAGTGTTATTGATAATGATGTACACTTGGCTAGATTGTTAAAGAAACCTCTTCATCCACTACAGGAAAATAAATCAGTACTTTTATATTCTTAGGATTTGTATATATTTTTTATTTGTAAATAAATTGTTTTTTTACTTCTTTTTTCTCATTTTTTATTAAAAGGTTAATAAATAAAATTTTCACAGATTTTTATATTTTTGTTTGTAAACAATAATTGAAGTTTTTATTAAAAATCACCAATGTTAATAATAATAACTTAAGTCAATATTATTCTTTCTCCTTTTTTAAAGCTACTATTAATAAAGGTATTACTTTAGCTTGACCTATGATCAATTTTTAATTTTGTGATATATTTGGTTTGACAGAAAAAAAATTAAAACCCTTTGACATTGGTTGTTTTTACTTAGATTTTCATAAAAAATAAACGGAACTGCAAACATGTTTTACTATCGTAATAACGAATAGCAACATGAAATTTTTTTTTCACATTTATCACTGTTGTCATTTTCATAAGAAGGCACACTTTCTGGTTTTTTGAAAAAGGTGGCAAGAATTGTGATATTTTTAAATTTATCACCAGTGATACCTCATGTAGTTACCCGATTTATTGGAATATATAGACTTTGCTACCACATTCAACTGAACTTGGTTTTTAATATTTATCACTGTGACATAGGCGTTTTTGTTAAAATGTTTCATTTTAAACTGCTGTAAATAGGTGCCTTTGTTTTGGTAGTTTTAGTCCCAAAAAAATCTATGCATATACAGGTACTCATTCCTCTTCGATTTGCTCGAAAAGTTAAATTTTTATCAAAAATTACATTGGCTGTTTAAAAACTCATTATAATCTCTGAAATGTGATAATTAGGTAAATTAAATTAAAAAACAAACAAAAAAGTTTATTAAATTAATATTTACTCTTACAAAATAGGTTCTTGTAAGTTAACAAGCAATTATGCAGATATTACTAAGTAAATGTACTTGCTTAAAATTCACACACGAATGTGGTTTTAACATGTTAAATTAACTAACCCTTCTTATAACTCTTTCCACATGTATTCTTACAGATGCTATTCTTTTACTTAATTGTACATCTTCTGGAGAAGTTTTTTCATTCTGTGATACACTAGGTGTGGCTTTACTAAAGTGTATCCCATGTTTTCAAGTAGCTGATTATTCTGAAACCCCTATCTGCCATTATATGGGATCCAGGAACCAGTTTAAATACCCACATTTTTCCATTATTTCTTTATCACTAGTTCTTCCACAAAATGATGAATAAATTCGGTATCTTCAAAACTTTCAGGAGATTCTGCATTTTCTTCCAGAAGGGTTTTTAGGTTATACACCTAAGAATTTATAGTAGCCTCATTTTCAATTTCCTGAAGGGGACAATTAGCAGAAATTGCTGCTACATCTTGATAATCCGGTGTATTTTTATTAAAAAGTTCACGAGAAACATCGCTAGTAGAAGGTTGATTTTTTTCTTTCCAAATTTCTAGGAACACTAATAAATATTTTTGAAGATGAATGTGAATCATTATCACATTCTGGAACAAAACACTTTTTCGTAGTCATAATATTTATAAAAAGTACAAAATTAAACAATCAAATTCCAAATAAATTCTTGATGGAGACACTATGATGACAGATGCCATACACAGTGCTGCCATTTTGCCATTTTCTGAATTATTAAGTGACTTTTAAAACAATGAAACTTTAAATATGGTAAAAGTTTAAACAGAAATAATACTTTCAAAAAACATTTGATATTATATATTTAAAAGATATTTGTTTAACGATGTTTTAGAAGTCTAAAAGTAAGAAGGAGTACACAAACGAACGTACATCACTTCTCGTAAACCTTCTAGCCGGCAACGTTGTGCGCTAGCTCCTATTGGTCTATTCCCGGTGACGTCATAAATTTTAAAAAAATTCATAACTCCGGCAAATGAATAGATAAAAAAAAAAATAAAAAAAATGTAATTTTATTTTCAACTCTATTATTCATAAAAAAAATTTCAAAATTTTTGAACATGCCCCATTGTAATGTTTTTTTTTTTTTCAATAATTTTTTCTGTATCACCTTTTGCATAAATACATATTCTTAAAAAAATACCATCATTGGTCTCTTGTAGTTTTTATCATTAAAGTGTTGAAACCATTTTGGACTAAATACTAGTTAAATAAATACTTCAAGGTCAGACAATTATAAGTCCAGAAATAAT